TAATCAGCAGATGAAGCGTCAGGAAAGAAATACAAGGAAAGCTGATAATCACCTCTGCTTCCTTCATCTGCGGGACTGAGACTCCTCAGAGTGTGAAATGAGTGGAGGTGATAGAGTCACAGCACAGTAGGGTGCAGATGGGCACGGGTCCTGGGGGAGCCATTCTCATGAGCGTCCACGGGGTTGGCTTTTGAGGTACATGGACATGGTGTGAAGCCACCTGAGTCTCACAAACGAGAAAGCGATTCCCTTTTCAATTCTGTTTAAATTCTTTGAATTTCATCAAGGAGAAAGTCTCATCGTGGTGTGTCTGTATCTGTAGCACCTTACACTTAGTCACCTCTCCATTTAACAAAGAAATGGTCAATGTCAGCCTCAGAGCTGTAGACTGGCAGCAATTTGGATCACGGGAGCCTCTGTTTAATTTATACGGGGATTCTCTAAACAAACGTATTGATTAATTCACTGATATTTGATTAAGTATTTATTTTAATAAATTATTAATTATTGATGAAATCGATTGATTAGCAATGCATAAATATCTGGCTGATGTCATGAAAGTGCTATCTGAGGGTCTGGAGCTTAGGCAACACCATCTTCAGTTGGAAGCATTGCATGTGCAGGGAGATGTTCCTGGCAGTCATGAGCATGCATATGCTCAATAAATTCTTGTTTTTTGAAGACTTTATTTTTTTAGAGCAGTTTAAGATTCACAGCAAAATTGAGAGGAAGGTACAGGAATTCCTACGTGCCCAAAGGCCATAGTTTACATTAGGGTTCACCCTTGGTGGCATACATTCTGTGGGTTTGGACAAATGTATAATGACACATGTCCACCGTTGCAGTATCATGCAGAGTATTTTCACTGCCCTTAAAATTCTCTCCGACATATTTGTTGGCCAAAGTAAATGACACAGCCCACATAGATTCAAGGAGTAGGTCAATAGACTCTTCCTTTTAGAGGGAGGTTTGCAGAGCCATAAGCAAAAGCAGTAGATACAGAAGGAGAATTAGTGCCATTTTTTTAAATTTTATTTTTATTTTATGATAGTCACAGAGAGAGAGAGAGAGAGAGGCAGAGACACAGGCAGAGGGAGAAGCAGGCTCCATGCACCGGGAGCCCGACGTGGGATTCGATCCCGGGTCTCCAGGATCGCGCCCCGGGCCAAAGGCAGGCGCCAAACCTCTGCGCCACCCAGGGATCCCATTAGTGCCATTTTTAATTGTTCTACACAGCTACCGTTATATCCCTTATATCTGGCTCTACCTACCTATTTACATATCTGTCTACTTACCTATGCACCCATCCATCCACCCACATCCACCCATCTGTCTCTTCACCTACCCATCCATCCATCCATCCATCCATCCACCCCCGTGTCTGTCTCTCCGTCCATCCATCCATCCATGCATGCATCCATCCATCTATCTATCCATGGCAACTGAAGTTCCCAGAAGGTAAGACTTTGCTCAAGATCCCATAATGGCAAAAAAAAAAAAAAAAAAAAAAAATCCCATAATGCTAATAGATCAATACTTCCTTGGCCAATCATCATGCCCTTAACCATACTAGACTCACTTCCTTTTCCACCATGTTTGTCTCTTCCTGCTCACGTTAAATCTCTCATGAATGAAAAATTCGGAGCTGGGTTTAGCAGGAAGGTAAGAGTGAGGCACTTTTTGTTCATGAGAAGGAGAAAGCAGTGACCTACTTAAATAATGGAGAATCCTGAGAGGAGACAGCTGGACAGAAAGCCCACCCCAGCTTATTTTGTAGAAAACAAACTCAGCATTTATTTAAAAATAAGAGATTCATATTTTAGGCTTCTTTTGGGGAACCCAAAAAAGTAGAAAAAAGGAATCCCTACACAAAGGGAGAGTGAAGAACGTGGGGAAGGCTTGTTGGTAGTGCTTCCTGCGGTGAGGTGCATCTGTCACAAGTGGGCCCTAGCATCCTGCTCTGCTCCTTCCAAGAACCTGTGGCCTCCAGAGCCCCAAACAAATCAGTCTCTCAGTGTCCACACTTCAAGGTTCAAGAGGTTTTTTGGAGAGGGATTGAGCACACTAGAATAAAACATCTGATGTGGCAATTTAGTTCGGTTTTTACAAAATATTGTGAGTTGCTTCAGTAATCGATGGCTTTTTTAAGGACATGGAGTCAGTACTCTTTCTGGAATGCTCTACTTTGTCAAGGCCTTCTGAGGGTGATTTAAGCAGGTTCTGGAATGAGAGGGTTAAAATGGAAGTGCAGAGACATCCCTCCAGAGAGAGAAGGGCAAGCACCCTTGTTCCTGGTGGCCTCAGAACAAAGCCTCTGGCAGAGAACAAGGGAGGAGGCTGTTTCTTTGAAAAGCCATCTTGACAACCCAGGCCCTGTTTGGCTGCAGCCCCACCAAAGGCAGCTTTGATCTGCTAGCCAGTGTCCCTGCCGGGGAAAAGGATTAGGGGAGCTTCCAGAGGAGAGAGGCACAGGCCGCCCCATATGCTGGATGGGCTGTGCCTGCTGCCATCAGGAGGAAGGCCAGCAGGGGAGGCTGGAGCAGCCGGAGCAGACACAACTGGACTCTCCCACAGTATCTGAATGGGGACCCGCTTATGTTTCTGGGCTTATTTTTTCTTTTCTTTTCTTTCCATTTAAATTCAATTAGCCAACGTATAGGACATTATTAGTTTCAGAGATAGAGGTCAGTAATTCATCAGCTGCATATCACACCCAGTGCTCATCATGTTATGATTTGCCCTCCTCAATGGCCATCCCCCAGTTACCCCATCCCCCTTCCATTTCCCCTCCAGCAACCCTCAGTTTGTTTCCTAGAGTTAAGAATCTCTCATGCTTTTTCTCCCTCTCTGATGACTTCCCATTCAGCTTTCCTCTCGTCCTCTATGATCCTCTGCACTGTTTCTTATATTCACCTATGAGTAAGATCATATGATAATTGTCCTTCTCCGATTGACTTCACTCAGCTTAATACCCTCCGGTTCCATCCACGTTGAAGCATGGTGGGTATTCGTCCTTTCTGATGGCTGAGGAATATCCCATTGTATATAAAGACCACATCTTCTTTATCCATTCATCTGTCAAAAGACATCGTGGCTCCTTCCACAGTTCGGCTATTGTGGACATTGCTGCTATGAACATTGGGGTGCAGGTGCCCCTTCAGATCACCACATCTATATCTTTGGGGTAAATACCCAGTAACATAATTTCTGGATCATAGGGTAGCTATATTTTTAACTTCTTGATGAACCTCCACACTGTTCTCTAGAGTGACTATACCAGCTTGCATTCCCACCAACGGCGCAAGAGGGTTCTCCTTTTTCTGCATCCTCACTAACATTTGTTGTTTCCTGACTTGGTAATTTTACCATTATGACCGGTGTGAGATTGTATCTAATTGTGGTTTTGATATGTATTTCCCTGCTGCTGAGGGATATTGAGCATTTTCTCGTATGTCTGTTGGCCATTTGTCTGTCTTCTTTGGAGATGTGTCTGTTCATGTTTTTTGCCCATTTCTTGACTGAACCCTTTGTTTTTTGGGTGTTAAGATTGTAAATTCTTTATAAATCTTGGATAATAGCCCTTAATCTGATGTGTCATTTGCAAATATCTGGGCTTGTTTTCAAAGACAAAGGCATGGCTGTGGGCTTCTGAGGGCTTTGCAAAGTCAGCCATTGGGCATTTTAATCTGTTTGTCCTGCGTGTGTAGGGAGTCCTTAGTGAACTTCCCACAGTATAGGTGAAAGCCATGAGGAATCTTTACAGAGAAGAACCTTTAGGCGGCAAGGAGCCTGCTGGTTGTACTACTGTCCATGTCTGCAATGGGCAGAGAAGGTCAGGAAGGTAGTGGTGATGCTCTTCCCTATCTCAGCACTGAGCCCCAGCCCCCGGGGTAGGCTGGCTTACCAGGCTGCAGATTGCAGTCAGGGCTTTCTGACTTAGATGCACCTGTGCAGTTACAAGGAAGTAACTTCACTGAGTGCCATGGCCTACTGAATGACTTCACCCCTTGTTACCAGATGGGCACAATACCTAAATGTTGCCAGGCCCTCCCATGTGTAAAGAGAAGCTGGAAACCCAGATACTTCCCAGTTGTTCAAGATAGTTCCCATCTTATCGATCTTCTAAAATACAGTGGACCAAACAGAGTCCATCCCCAGGCTGGGTCAAGTGCCATAAGCCACTGTCTCCCTATGTGCTGTGTTTCCTATTGGCTTTATGAATTTTTTGTTATGCAAAAGATTATGTTTTTTTGCGTAAGCAACTTTATCAATTTTTTAAAATTGCATTTGGATTTTGAGTTGTAATTAGAAAGCTTTCCCTACACTCAGCTGATAAAGGAGTTCATCCATTGTCTTCTTTTAGTACCAAAAATAAATTATTTCCTTATATCTAGATTACTGATTCACTTGACATTTATTCTTGTGTGTGGTGTGAGGTATGGATCTAATTGTATCTTTTGTTTTAATTGCATCTTTTGTTTCAAGTGGCTAGCCAGTTGTCCTAGAACCATTTATGAGAAAATCCCTCTTTGCCTCATGATTTGGAGACTGTCTGTATCACATGCTAATAAATTTCTAGATGTACATGAATGTATTTAGGGACTCATCTGTTCCATTGGTTTGTTTTTCTATTCATGTACTCATGCCATTAAATATGTTTTAAACTCATGCAAATTATTAATAAACATCCCAACTTCACACTCGTGGATGTCTTGCCAGCTTTCTGCTTGGTGGAATTATGTAATTGTCACTGTTTAACCATTACTAATATATAAACATCCACATCTCATTAGCCTCCCCCTAATACAAGTATATATTTTGCAGATCGTATAGTCCTTTACTGGCCTATCCCAGGAGGACCATGAAAATACTAGCCATGTGAGCTCCGGAATGTTCATCCTCATTTCTAAATTGCTTATAGACTTCCTATCCAAGGAGTCCAGCCCTAACCTCATCTTCGTTTTTTTTTTTTCTTTCTTTTCTTTCTTTGTCCTCTGCAGTGATTGAGGGCCGGGGGATCACAGACAATGTGCCGCGGTTCTCTTCTCTGCCCCCCTTCCTGCCTGTGAGCTACCACATCCTTGGAGCAGAGACCTCCTTCTTCCTGAAGGAGGCCAACCAGGACGTCCTGCGCAACTCCAGCCTGCACACCAGGGTGGAGTCCTTCTTCACCTACAAGGCCGACCGGCCCCCAGTGCTCAACGCCAGCTACGGGCCCTTCTCCATCGAGCAGGTGGTGCCTCAGGACCTCCTGCTGCCCTCCAGCCCCTTCGGAGCCACCAGCAAGCTCTCCCTCAACTGGAGGCTGAGGGCGCACATCCTGCGGGACAAGGTGTACCTGAGCCGGCCCCGGGTGCAGGTGCTCTTCCACCTGCTGGGCCGGGACTGGGCGGCACAGAGCCCCGGCGAGCGGCTGCCCTGCCTGCGGCTGTTCGCCTTCCGGGAGACCCGGGAGGTGCGGGCCGGCTGCCGGCTGCAGGGCGCCCTGGGGCTGTGCGTGGCCGAACTGGAGCTGCTGGCCGCCTGGTTCGGGCCCCCCACCGTGGTGGCCGGGAGGAAGCGGGCGCCCGGGCCGCCCGAGGGGAGCCCCGTGGAGCTCTACTACTCCGTGCAGCCGGGGGATGCGCGCGGGGACTGTGCGGGCGGCGGCGGCGACGTCAGGAAGGGCAACGCCATCCGGCCCGGGAAGGACGGGCTGGACGAGGCCGTGCCCCACCTGCAGAGGATCGGCGCCGTCAGCCTCTACCGGGCCCAGGACAGCACCCAGCTCAGCGAGCTGCGTTTGGACAGCAACGTGGTCATCTGGCTGCCCTCCCGGCCCGTCAAGCAAGGAGATGTGGTCACCGCCTACGTCACCATCGCCAGCAACTCCACCGTGGACCTTTTCATCCTGAGGTAGGTGCCCAGGCTGGCCCAGGGCCTTCTTGTGCGCGCCTAGGGTGAGGTGGCCCCGGATCCCTGGGGTTTCGCTACGTTCGGGGGATGCTCCGGCTTCTCAGTGAAGCTGGATCCTGCAGCTGCCCAGGTGCACTCAGCAGTTCCTCTTCCATCGTGGATCAGGGGGTGGGGGGAGGGGGCCAGAAACCACATCCAAAAGAAGCAAGAGTAATCAAATCACTCTCTCTTTCGTCATTGAACTTGCAGAAGGATCGGATTCTTTCCTTAGCTTGGAATTTTTTCGTAGACACACAGATACTTGTTGCATGGTTGAGAGCCTATTTCCTCAGAGCCCAAGAAGAGACATAGGGTTTATGATATTTATGATATTTTACTTTGTGTGTATACGTGAAAAAAGGCAAGGAAGCATCCTTTAAACAAGAATTCAGTGCGGTTCTTGTTGGCAGGCTGGGGATAGGTGAAGCTCAGTTCCCGAGCATGGTTTAGCTGTGATTAAAGGAGTCTGGCCAACAGAAAATTATTGCACAGAGGTATTCCATCTCATAAAAAAAGAAAGAACAGAAAGTAAATTGAAACAATGGGATGACCCACCTGCCGTCACCACTGCTGGCTCAGCAGATTGCTTAAGTTCTAATAGGGCTGCTCTGTCACTCCGTGTGATGATTCCGAGGTCCATCTGGGAGCGTCTGCCTTCTGAGGATTATTCATATTGGAGAAGAGCCACTTACAGAAAATCCTCTTAAAATGTGGGCCAGGATTTCATAATAACGAGAAAATATTTGAGACTTGTTTAAAAGATAAAGATGATAAAAAAAAATTTTTCCCGATTCTAGCAAGGAAAGACTTAGTTGGGTAATAATTATATCTCCGCATTGGAATAAAAAAAAAATCAATCACATGTTGAATGAGTTGCTTGGGAAAATAACTGCAAAATAGAGTGATACTATTTTATAGCATATTCCTTTTTGTGTAAGTTTTGTTGCATAACTTTGAGAATGGTCATATTCAAAGGCTTTGTTGAGTTTGTTTTCAGAAAATGCACTCAAAGGCTTCAATGTTTCTCAAGGCATTTCTGCATCCTTGGGATTCTCATAATTCTTTCCTAATGTGTCTGTCTGGTCATCGTCCTTGGAGTTTTTTCTTGCAATTTTTAAGTAGGCTAATTTTACCAGATCCTCCCTTGCCAGTGAGATCTGGATACAGTTGAGGACTTCCACAACATCATGATCAGTGATGTTATGAAATCCTCCATCTTTCACAAGATGCACACTTTGCCCTTTGAGGACTCCCATCGCAGCTACCTTCAGACTCAGTGGGGCCAGGCAGGCACCTGCTGACCGTGTATGAGGGGACACAGCTCCCTGTCAGGGTGCCAGAGACTTGGTGGAAGTGTCAGCCTCACAACTGAGAGGCCAGGATGGCAATTTTTTTCTCTTTTAAAGGTTTTATTTATTTATTCATGAGAGACACAGAGAGAGACAGAGACACAGGCAGAGGGAGAAGCAGGCTCCCTGTGGGGACCCCAATGCAGGAACTCGATCCCAGGACCCCGGGATCACGACCTAAGCTGAAGGCAGACGCTCAACCCCTGAGCCACCCAGGCGTCCCTCAGGTCATTTCATTGTAAAATAAATATATACAGCCTTGGCTTTGGAAAGTAGATGCAGAAGTCAGGGATGGTACCACTAACACGTGTTAGGATTCCAGAGTCATAATTATCTTTGTGCTTTGTACTGATCCTTAACTCTGCTTTCAGAAATGCAGGCTGTGTGGTCTACCAAGGGTGGGTTTGGGTGAACCACTGGGTCCCTGGTCCCAGGTGCAAAGCCTTCAGCTGCTGGTGGGCCCCCAGACCTGGTGTGTTCGACAGAAGGGGCTGTTTTCTGTATTTGTCATCATCACAGGCATAAAGGGTGGTGAGGGCGAGGTCCTGCACTCAGCTGGCTCAGCTCTGAGCCTATCTCCTCCACTTCACGGTGGTGGGACGGTGGATGGCTCACCTGGCCTCCATGTACCTCTGTCCCCTCATTTCTGCATCAGATGTCATCCTGGCACCTCCTGCTTCCGAGGACAGGAGGACCTCATGGGCCAATATTTATTTGTAAGATACCTATAACAGCGCCTGGAACATAAAAAGTATTTCTATGAATGTTGAATATCCCTAACAGGGTTGTGTTTAAACATCCATCAAACTTCCCTGAGTGCTGAATTCTGTTTTAGCAGTAAAAGGACTTCGTGCCTTGCATAAAACCACAGCAAGGTCTGTTCTCCATGCTGTATTGATTCCCACTTCACCGCAATTTTGTTTAAAGAGCAAAACTGGTTTTTTGGTTTGTTCTGTTTTGTTTATAATGACAAGTGCTTTGGAGCACAGAGAGCAGTGCTGGCGAACTTCTGGGGTGGATGCCACTTACTGCCGTGAGGTGCAGCATCTCTGTTTCTGCCTTCCTGATCTTTCCAACTTTGCACCTGAGTCCTGGGGGAGAGGCAGAGGAGACATGGAGTCCAGAATGACTCCCAGATGTGTGGCTGAAGGATGCCACCGCCATGACTGATGGCAGACCACGCCACGGGGGAAACAGGATTTCTCTTTCCAGATAACATACGTAATTTTAACTTAGTTAAAAGTAATTTTCATTTTTAAATGAACTATTTCAAGGATAAAACATTCAGTAAAAGAATGCAAGAGGACGTACACAGACATGGCATGGATAGTGACACTACATGAGAATGCATGCTCATGGGAACCCACGTGCCTCCAGCAGCCTCCACCCATGGCTGCAGGTTGGATCGCAGGGAAATCTGTCCTGCCCTTGCTGGTACCTTTCTACCGAGAGATTTGGGGGATTTGCAGGAGAGCTTGAAAGCCTTCGACTGACTGTGAAATCCAAAGGTATTCTCCTTTGTCACCTTGCATGATGACTTTGATGACAAGGCTATATTTGGAAACAGGTAGGACTTTTTAGGGGTTTTATAGAGCCAATAGTCTATTTGGGAACCTGGCCTAGGCTTCCCTGATAGGATCATTTTCACAAATGATACTGTCTTCTGTAGGCCCAAAGAAGCAGCTTGCTGTTCGCTGGTAACTTCGTGAATTTAATCTAAAGGCAATCCGTGATTTATGATCAAATCGGTTCCTGAGATTCTTACAGCAAGCAGAGGCATTACTCACTATTCTGAGGGCTTCCAAAATACATTGACGACCGGAGTCATCAGTCCTGAAAATGCCCATTGCCACCCCCACGTGCCTGGATGCTACAGAGAAGGCCTTGGGATGCAGAAGATGACCGCTGCTTCCTCAGAGCTCTGTGTTAGAGTTTGCAGAACATCTTCCTGTTTCAAATCAATGTTCACTCTGCCTTAGTTGGTCCTGGCCTTGCAAAGTCATTAGAGGGGAGAGCTGGGGAGGCCACCCTGCCTCGGCCTCGTCACTCAGTAACTGAATTAATGCCTCCAAAGACAAAGGTGGTAGCTTATGGTCCTCCACACCTGAGGACAGGCTTGCTTTGTTGTATCCAAAGTTCAGGGATAAAAAAGAAGTTAAACTAATGAACACTGAAGTGGTAGTCAGTAAAAGTTTATTGTGAACGCACCAAAAGGACCATTTGCACATGAGCAGCCCTCAAAGCAGAGCCTGGAATGAAGCTTGGGAGGTGCGGGAGGTTGGCATATATGTTAGAAAAGCAGCTCTCAGAGCCCCGAGGCAGGGATCGACTATTCTTTACAGGCATTATTCACGATGTTAGGATTTTCTTAAATGAAAGCAAAGGGGTGAGTGGTGACCTCCTATCAATTTGGGGGAACAATTTAAGTCTTGTGTATGATTTTCCGAGACATAAGCAAGCAATGACCCAGGTCAAGTTGGCCTCGCTTGTCTTGCCAAACAAGCTGAATTAAGCTTTGCTTGTCTGATGAAACCGGGTTTGTCAGCTCAGGGAATTTTCAAGGCTGGGCTCTGTTCGTGTATGATTTTAACATCCTCTACACTTTGGGTCCGTCTCTCAGCGAACTGACAGTGTGAGCAGCTCCTACGGTATTCCCGTCCCTACCACTGGTAATGCAGCCAGGCGGGGGCCTCCCACGTTCCCCTGCTCCAACAGGTACATCAGCACCACGCACCCAAGCGGTCGGGTCAGTGAGGTCCTCAAGGTGCCTGATCCCGCTGGACGTCGTTTGACGTGTGAATGACTGCCGAGGAGCGTTTAAAACCCTGGGAGGAGGTACAGGTCAATAGGATGACTATTGGACAACAGTTGCCAAGGAATGAACCCCTCCCACCCCGAGCAGATGCCCAGAAGCCAAGACCCAACCAACTAAGCGACTCAAATGGGTTATAATCAGAGTCAGGTTTTACTGTCAAAGTGAACCTATGGCATGAGGTATTAGCAACCACCTATCTTCGTGGTCGCTTAGGGCCTGATGAACTCGAAAATGTTCTATTTCAGGAGATGGTGCTATAAACAGGTCTAAACCAGGTCTCTGTCTGATGGGAGCAATTAATCATTTAATAAGAGATATCTCTTCAGAAATATAAGAAAAGCAAAGGTTGATAATCTAAGTAGATTATAAGCAGCCAGTTGAGAAAATTTCTTGATTTGTGTTGGAAACATCTTCAGAGGGTAGAATGAGGTTGGTGGCTTCAATTCCACAGGTCTCGAGACCCTGGTTGGCAATTTGACCCTTTGGTGATGTCACCGGCATTCCCACCTGGCAGCTGGCATGGAGGTTGTCTGGGTATGTTCCGTTGTGGTGATTTCTCTGAAGTTTACATGCACAAAGCCTCAGAAACAATTAACAGTGAGAGTCTGATCATAGGTACGCTCTAGTTTTCCAACTGAAATACAATTTTTAATTTTTTATAGTTATTTCATTTTCATCACAGACATTCACAGTGAAACGCACTTGTTTGTTAAAAAATAAGTAGTCTTATTAAACTTGGATTTTTGACATAAATGTAATAAGGATACTGATTCTGGTTCTATTCTCAAATGTGATAT